TTACCCTTCCACTCATCACAGCAGCTGCAGCAGATCAAATCAGTATTCCCACAGCTTCTCTGCATGATCGAGTGTATGTAGGAGGGCAAGAGAGGGGAGTTAACCTACTTTGTTTCGGTGAAGCTCAAACCTGAGGCTTTGCTAATCAGCAGCTCCTGGAGCACAAGGTTGGCATGCTCGTTTCCTTTGATACCGGCTGTTTGGGGACAGACTCGACGAGGTGCTTTGCATAAGTCTTACGCTGAACTTTGTCTGAAATGTGTTGATTTTTTTTTCCCCAGAGCAGTGACAGTGACTGTGTAACAGTTGAATTAAGTGCTTTTTTACTTTATTTTTTTTTTAATAGGAATAAGGTTTTGTCTTGGTTTTTATATCTCTTTCTCTGTTGGCTGTATATACGTGGTTTGCTGGGTGTGCTGAGAAAGGAAAGATTATGTGTCAATATAAATGATAAAATGCCTGTGCAGTCCTGAGCGACCCAGGGCTGTTCTGTGAAGCTCCTTTGGGAATCCCAAGAGTTCCAGCTTGTGTGTCCTTCTCTGCGTCTGACTTTCCAGTAAATTATTTTTTTTTGTTGGCAGTAGCAACGGGGAGTGAGAAAATTCTAAAAGATGGAGAAATCTTTCATGTGCTTTTAACAACCTCTTCCCTCTCCTGTACTTCCTAGGATGTTTGATGATTGTATGCCCATTAGTCAAACTTCATGAAGAATTAAGTCAGTTCTTAAGTTCAGTAGCCAGACAGCTTTTCTGAATAGCCTGCTGTGCTGTGCTCGTGCTCTCCTGGCCAGGACCAGGGACTTCTGGACAAAAAAAAAAAAAAAAAAGTTAGTTTTGAACTTGAGCTACAAAGCTGAGTCTTATATACTGGAGTCTTATACTGGATTCTCTGCCTAGTGGTGTTAGAAGGTGCTATGAACACGATAAAGCATGATCAGTTAGCTGAACTAAGCCCATAAAATGTAACGTAATTAGCTGTCATCAACTAAAAGAACAGATATTAAACCAATCTGTTCTGCAGAGAGAAGAGAAGCAAGACCCAGGAGAGGAGCAGCATTCTGCATGCAGATCATGGATGCCAAAAGGGAGAAAGGTAAGATCTTTTGTTTTCTTTACTTTGTTCAAAGTACAAACATTCCTACCTTGGGTTACAGAGAGAGACAAAACACTTGTCTTCCTCTGCGGAGTGGCCACTACTTACACATCTATCTATAAACCACCTTCCCCATATACAGTCTCACAATTACCAGTTTCATTTTTACCACTGCTGGACTGGATCTTGCCACTACTTGGAGCACAGTAAAATCTAACAGTAATCTCATGTATGGGGATTGTGCAGACACAGCTTGAACCAGTGATTGAGTACCAGGTGAGAAGGTGTGGCTAACCCAGGGCACACAGGTGCAAGTAATGAACCCTGGATCCACCCCTCCTCACTCTCGTTTAAGGGTTAGCAGCTGAGGGAGTAGGATCTCCATTTAGAGGTTGCCCCTTCTTGGGACTTCACTGACCTTCACAAAGGGTGAGTCGCTTGTTCATGTATCATCTAAACTGTATTCTCATGAATACCTTTATGAATGTGTTTGTGTCTTGGTAGAAAGCAATATCATTGCCCTCCCTTGCGCTGTACGTTGTAAATAAGCTGTCAGAACACAAGTCAAGCCTGTAATCAGTCTGTATGAAGTATAATGTAAGGAGAGAATTTTGCTATGCAGCATTCCAAGGTTTACCTAGAAAATGGTGGGACCTGGTATGTGGTGAATACCATAGAAGTCCCAGCTGTTTCATTAAGCTCAGGCCTGAAAGAGGTTGCATGGTTATTTTTTCCATTAATTAGAAAAAAAAAAAGGGAGAGAAAATCCTGTTTTGATGTGAATCTAATGCTGCCCTTCTCAGACAGTGAATTTTTTCTTGATGTCATTGATTTGTGATTTTTTTTTTTTCTTGTGACTTCTTGATGTTTTAAAATTCTCTTATTTCAGTGCATTTCTAGGAGAAACACAGCAACAAAATGTGGTCTCTTTTTAAAAACTAATGTTTAAACATCTGTTCTTGCTAAAAAGGTAAAAAGCTGATGTGCATTTGTGAAATAATTTTCTGTGAGCTGAATCTGTTGATTTAAAAAAAACAAAACAACAAAACACAAAGTTGAGAAAGACTGCATGAATCTTGGATATTTCTTTGTCAGCAGAGCGTATGAAACCTATTCTGCAGGTTGTGGATAGTTTGGCATTCCCCTGTTCCACTGTAAGGGAAATATCAGTGGAAAGACTCCCCTTTTGTGGAGGCTCTCTGAAGGAGAGGAGGGGAGGAAATAATATCCTAGCTGCATAGAAATGGTCTTACTTTAGTAGCTGTGTGTCACAATTAGAACTAAGTATGTACAACGCAAACATGGAGAAATTAGATACTTGCTGCTTTAATGAATTTGCCATCTAACATAAGCTACAGTAGGAGTTTTGATGCGTCACATTTGTACAAATGCTTTCCTTTTTCACTTTCTTTCCTTCTTCACAACTGGTTCTTCCCAAACAGTTTGTCAACAGCTGCAATTTGCAACGCTGTCCTCTACAGTCCCCAGGTCTTCCTAAGTAGACATCTAAAACCACAGGGGGACTGTGGTGGATTTGTTTAGAAAATACCTCTCATGTGAGCGTGTAAAAAGTATACATAAACATGGTGTGCTGTACTCTGGAAACATGTAGAGGGTGGGACAAGATACTCGTGAGAAGCATTGAGTTCTTCAAAACGAAGGCAATGTGGAGGTGTGGGGGGAAGTGAACTGCCTGTTAAATATGGAAAATGGAGTCTGCTTTTTGTTCTGGGCCTTTGGAATCTGTGGGTGGATTGGAACTGGCAGGCAGGGAGCAAACACCCACCCACCACAGGGCTGTGTGGTTCAGAAGTTTACAAGTGTTTGTGTTCCAGGAGCTGTTGGCCTTGAAGCCAATGGAGAGGGGGAGGAGAAGAGGGAGAGAGTGAGAAAAACAGTGTGGTGTTGGGGCCCTTCTCTGAGATATTTTTTCCTTCTCCTTTCTTCAGCTATAGGGGTTTGGAGCTGAAGCAAGGCAAACAGTTACTGGGGGAAAGATTAATAGGATTTTAAGATGCACAGCACTCATAATCCATCATCGGGGTGGCAGAGGCTTCAGAGAGCATTGCCACCTTAATCCCTGGTGACAGAGCTCATTGCTCCCCCCTTCTGCCCCACTTTGTAGTCCTGCAAAGTCTGGGGTACGAGGAAATACAAGCTTTGCTGTTACTGCTTGGTTTGCAAACTGGTTTCTGTTGCTTTATGGATTTAGGTTCAGAAGCTGCTCCCTTAATCAGTTACCATCTGAGAGCAGCAGACATAGAAACTGAGGCACGCAGGAACTGAGCAACTTGCCCAAGGCAGCAGGAAGTCTGTGGGAGACCTGGGAATGGACCCCAGATGTCCTGAGTTTAGTCTTAACCACCAGACCATCCTTCCTGCCTTTTTGGTAGTCCCCTCTGCTTCAGGAATTCCATTTATGGATCACACCCCCATTAATTAATCACTCATCTGTTGCTTGATTCAGTAACTTACTTGCATTAAAGAGTCATTTGGAGAGGAAAAAAACCAACAACCCAACACCTAAAATGAGCTGCAGTTACTACTGTCCTTTCTTCCTGAAGTGTAAAGGAGTGCAAAAAAACCCAGCACCCAGAACTAAGAGGCTTTCCCATTACTAAGCAGACTTCCTGCAAACAGTAATTTTACTCCTAGCACAACTGGATTCCCTATACTTGATGTTTGGGTCTATCTGCGTGTTTATATTTCAGTGAGTTTAAAACAACAACAAAGACTGAAACAAATCCATGTAGGGCATGAATTAGCTGCTCTGAGTACTTCAGATAGAAACCCTTTTGGATGCCATATCCCTAATGGGGCATCTGTTGCTGTGTGCAAGCACCAACCTGGAGTTCTCTGCACTTGGGGTGTGGAGACACAGCTGATGGTGCGTGGTTCCTCCCTACTCGCTGCTGCTCTGTGATGCTTGCAGCTGGCACTGGGCTCCTGTGTGAGGCAGTGCTGGGCTCGGAGCTGTGACACCTTTTTCCCTTTGAAGGGGACTTCAGGGCACAGGAACACAAATAGTGTCTGAGCTCGGTGCGATCCTTGCCCGCATCGATCCTGGCTGAACCTCAGCCTGTTTGGTTTGGTGAGGTTTTTTGTTTGCTCTTGTAATTGTTTGGAAGACCATGGATTTGCTTCACTTTTTTAGTTTACTGGGGTTTATCTTCATTTATACCACGGTGGTAGAGCTCTTCCATTGGAGAGCAGGCGCTCACTGCATCACGAAGCAAGGCTATGAGCAGTGCTTCAAGTCGCTCTTGCATCAGAAATATCTTAGTTGTGTGTACGTGGAACTGCTTTCCAGCCTTTTCTTTTAGCGTGAGGTTCGTTGGTAACAGAGCTAAGCTGTCGGGCGTGTGTTTTACGTCTGTATTTCAGCGTTAGTCGGAACGCTCCAGCCGTTCTGCTCCCTCGGGCCGTGTAAGAGAGGACGAGCGGGCGCTGGGGCGGCGCTCCGGCTGCGTTCCGCGGGCTGCCAGCAGGGGGCGCCGTTCCCTGCGCGGAACCGCGGCTTCGGCCCGACCGCGGCCCTCCGGGCGCCGCCATTTGGCGCAGCGGTGACCGCCTCACCCGGAGCTGCGCCGGCGGCCCCCGGGTCGCGGCTGGCGGCCCCCGGGAGCCGAGCGCGCCGCCCCCGCGCTGTGGCGGCGGCTCCACGCCCGGTGCTCGCCGCGTGAGCGCGGAGCGCGGCTGGCGCCGGACCCCGCGCTGCGCTGCTTGCACGTGTGGCATCGCCGCTGCTGCGCCTCCGCGTTAAACTCGCTTGCCGCAAGTAGGTTTAGCGGCGGCGGGGCTTAGGTGGTGCTCTCGCGCTTCGCGTGCGCGCTGGATACGCGCGCTGCCGTTTGTTCCCTTTATTTATTTTTTTTAACTGTTGTCCAGAAATAAAACGACGAGAGGAACGAGCCCGCGCGCTCCCGCCCCTCCTTCGCGGCGCGCCGCTCTGTGAACCCAGCAGTTCTCCCTCCCCCCGGCGCGGCCGCCCCAGGCTGAGCTGCGCCTGCCCGTGCAGCAGCCGCGCGGGAGGGGGGAGGCGGCCGCTGTTCCTGGAAGAGCCCGGCCTGGGGAGTTGGTCACATTCTTGGCCGGGATTCAATGACTGAGGCAGACACCAACAAACAGAAGGGGGGAGGAGGAGGAGGAGTGAGGGAGGCTGAGCCAGCCCGCATTAGCTCAGCTCTCAGGCACTCTCAGTCTCTGCTGGAAAGAGGAGCTGGGAGGATGTGCGCGCTGTTACCGCGGCTCCCCACGGCACGCTGAGAGCGAGAGGAAGAAAGGAAGAAAGGGGAGCGCGGCGCCGGGGAGCCCGCCCGGATCGAGCGAAGGGACCGCGCGGGGAAGGCAGCCCGCCCGCAGCCCCGCGCCGCTTTGGAAGTGTCGGAGATTGGGGCCTTTTAATTCTATTCCGCGTTGCTCCTTCCCCGCACCGAGCCGCCTTCCTCCTCCCGCTTTTTACTTTCCTCCCCCGCTCCTTCTTCCTGGTGGATATGGACACGAGCGGGATCGCTGCAGAGAAGCAGCAGCCGCCAGCGCGTATTTAACCCGCGGTGTCCGGAGCGCGGTTCGGACCGGCGTTCCGGGGCTGGCAGTGCGCGCTGCCTGCGGCCGCCGGCTCGGATGAGGACCTCGCTTCGACGTGACTCTGCGCTCCGGCCGGGCGGCGTCGGGGCCGGGCACGGCGAGAGATTGTGACGGAGCGACAGAACGGAAAGGAGAAAGAGACGCGTCCGAGAAGGATTTATTTCCTCGCCGTCTGTGGATTGCTAAACCTGAGTGGGAAGGGGAGAAAACAAGGGTGGGTGGTTGTTTTGTTTAAAAAAAGAAAAAATCCCTTAAGTGGATTTGTACCAGCGTGGAAGATAACTGGGGATTTTTGTTGTTTGTTTTGGGAATAGAAACTAAAAAATGGAGACTGTAAGTAGAAGCAGCTTCCAGCCTCATCCAGGACTGCAGAAGACCTTGGAACAGTTTCATCTGAGCTCTATGAGCTCCCTGGGTGGCCCTGCTGCTTTCTCAGCGCGATGGGCACAGGAGATGTACAAGAAAGACAATGGCAAAGACCCGGCGGAACCTGTGCTGCATCTGCCCCCTATCCAGCCCCCCCCAGTGATGCCTGGTCCATTCTTCATGCCCTCGGACAGATCCACTGAGAGGTGCGAGACCATCCTGGAAGGGGAAACCATCTCCTGCTTCGTGGTGGGTGGGGAGAAGCGCCTTTGCTTGCCCCAGATCCTGAACTCGGTGCTCAGGGACTTCTCCCTGCAGCAGATCAATTCGGTGTGCGATGAGCTACACATTTACTGCTCCAGATGCACCGCTGACCAGCTGGAGATCCTCAAAGTCATGGGCATCTTGCCCTTCTCTGCCCCCTCTTGCGGGCTGATCACTAAAACTGATGCTGAGAGGCTTTGTAATGCCTTGCTTTACGGTGGCACCTATCCTCCCCACTGCAAGAAGGAATTCTCTAGCACGATCGAGCTGGAGCTTACAGAGAAGAGCTTCAAGGTGTACCATGAGTGCTTTGGGAAGTGTAAGGGACTCCTGGTACCAGAGCTTTACAGTAACCCCAGCGCAGCCTGCATCCAGTGCTTGGACTGCAGGCTCATGTACCCGCCTCACAAATTTGTGGTCCACTCTCACAAATCCTTGGAAAACAGGACTTGCCACTGGGGCTTTGACTCTGCAAACTGGAGGTCCTACATCCTCCTCAGCCAGGATTACACTGGGAAAGAGGAGAAAGCTAGGCTGGGCCAGCTCTTAGATGAAATGAAAGAAAAATTTGACTATAACAACAAATACAAGAGGAAAGCCCCCAGGGTAAGTGATGCCTTAAATTCTTATTTTAAGAAGGAGTAGGGGGGAGAGAAAGAGAAGAGGGATTTTCGATGACGTCCATAGATGTACTCAATTTGTTACCAACTGTTTTCCTTTTAGAGTCGTTTAGCAATCTAATCGCATTCTTAATTCTCACCACGTGTGCGTTCATGCAGACGACCAGCGTTCGACATGGCTCCTTTTTTTCCTTTTTCCTCTCGTTGCGTTCTGAGCACAGGAGCTGGAGTTCAGTGATACTATATATATGTTTGTATATCGTGTTGTACACGGAACCTGATCTTTGAAACCCATCACGCTGCCCCATTTCAGCAGGAAGTGATTTGGGGTGCCAGGAGCTTCACTGGAGGTCAAGACGAGGAAGAAAGGAGGGGAAAATAACTCTGATTGCCCCAGACACAAATGCATGCAATTTTCTTTTCGACTGCATGCCTCCAGGGATGGAGGCAGGGGCTGAGCCGTTTAAATGCTTGAGCTGGAATAAAATGTGGCTGCTGAGAAAATTCCTGACAGCGATGCAGGTTACTGGTGTTCAGTGAAGTGCAGAATGGGAGCAGAGAAGTCTCTGCTTTTAGGGGATCCCAGATCCCAGCAAGACAGGCTTTTGTATATCGGATTATGTGTACGTTCAGTGAATGGATCTGAAGGGCCAGCTGCAGCAGCTCGCTGCGTTGTGCCCCGCTGTCCCGAGGCCGGACAGCCCGAGCGTATTTCCAGGTGCCCGGTGTTCTTCTTTCAGCCTGGGCTGCCTGCAGGCCCCGCCATTCCCGCTGTGTGGGCGAAAGGCGCGGTGCCACGGGTGGGCAGCGGGGGGGGGGGGCAGCTTCTGCCCCTTCTCAGCCCCCCGGAGGGAGGTGAAAGCAAACCGGAGCAGTCTGGCCTGCAGGTTTGGGGGCGGATTCTGCCTCCTCCATCAGAGATCTTGGAAGTTTTCTTCGGTTTTGTGTGTCTGGAGCGGAAGGGCAATCACATAAAAAGAAAAGGAACTTCGAAAGCCTTCTGAGAATGTTAGGTGAAATTCTTGGTTAACTTCCCAAATACCTGTTTAGACGTGCAGATACACGGTCAGACTAAATATGGCTTTTATTAAACAACAAAAAGCAAACCAGGGAGGTTTTCAGCCCCCCGCACGCAGTGCAGCAGGCAGTCCAGCTGGCCCGAGGGGCCTGGCCAATCCGTTTGGTTGGGCTCCGCGTTTCTGCCTCTAGGATTCTCTCTCTCCAAGTCCAGTTTCTCCCCTGCTCTTCTGCTTACCCCCGTTTCGGTCCTTGTCCCCTCCCTCTTTCCTCCAGCCGGAGTGTCAGAGCCGCTGTGACAAAGCGGGGCTGTAATGAGCCCCATTATCTCCGTGGCTGGAGGTGGATGTGTTTTTAATGGCTTGTCTATTCTCCGTCAGTCATGTGCTAAGGGGATGCTGGGGAAGATGCGCATGAATGTCTGCGAGAGGAGAAAAGGGCTCCGGCGGCGGAGACGTCTTTCAGCCTGCGCGGTGAATTTTCTTGGGCGTGCTCTGGGAAACTAAATAAAAGAATCCCCACTTTCTTCCTTCTGGGAGGAGATTGTGCGCCTGGGTTGGTCATTTCCACAGTGTGATTTAAATGAACGCTTTTAGAGGTCTGCATTTCTTTTCTTACAAGGCTCTTATGGCACTTTCTGTTGTGTGATTTATCCGGTGCCCCAGGTGAGGACGCGGGTGGAGAACGAGACAAGACTGCAAAGTTTTGGCATTGCCTTACACTTGTGGTGACCCCTTAGCAGTCCTGGCTCAGAACATGGCAAGCACTCTTTTCCGCCTGCCCTCCAACATTTGCTTGCAGCTCTTCTTAGAGAGTGACTTCAGGGTATCTGATAGTACCTAGCAGGAGACGCCAAAAATTAGACAAGAAAATCATAACTGGGTGTTTTTGAAACAATTTTGCAAAAGTGTCGGAATAAAATGTTAAAAGTGTCCTGTGTAGGTTCACTTGGGAGTGGGAAGGACGGTGTGGTTGTGTGTGCTCAGATGACAGGATAGCACACATCCTGTGCAGGACGCCTTTGAGTTTCCAGGCTCTCGAGTTGTCTTCTCGGCTCTTATTCATGTGGCACACTCTTCACGAGGCCCTGACATCACTGGTGGAGTTTTGAACGATTATCCTTCCTTTTTCTGTAGTCTTTTTCCATAGGGTTTAGCCAACGGATATCATATGCTAAGGTCATTTGCGCTAGCAGAGTGTGTGGATAATTACGGCGAGATTTAATCAGGCTGTAAGGTTGGTAGACTGTGGCCAGGGGCAAGTAACACTGGAGTAAAGTTTAGATGCCTAGTAAGGAAATGAAAGGATGATCCTGTGTCTGCCTCTGTGTGTTACTGTTAATCGCTGTCAGTCTCTGTGTGGGTTGTGTGTGTCTGCTGGGCTCTGTGTCTGTCTGTCTCTGTGGATGAAAGGGTGAAGCATATGTGTCTTTGTGGTGGTCTTCCTTTTTGATGTAGATCTCTGTGTTGCTTTGTTCTGCTTTATGCAGAGGTGTCTGTGTGTGTTGTATGCCATAATGCTGTGTCAGATGCTGTCTTCTATGTGCAAGAGGCTTTCTAAAATAATTTTCCCGATTAATTTGTGTATGTTGTACAGTGTTGTGCTTTCCCTGGGTTCTGCCAGTGCGTTGCAGCTTGGGATGCAGCTGCCCTTTGCTGTGGCTGGTTAAGAAGCAGTGAGTTTTTAGACCATTTTGTGTCTTCGTGAGGTTTCTGTGATGAGGTATGTAGGCTTTTGCTAGCACAGCTCTGCCTTTTAAGGGATTGACTTCTAAATGCAGGAGCTGGGCTGGCATGAGCCCCCACTGCAGATTTGGCATACTGGCCAAACTGCCTTTTTTCCTTCCCCAGCCCCCCCTCTGTTGGGTGGTTTTAAAGCACTGCTACAAGGCATAGCTTTGCCTAGATGCTTACTTCCCACCATGTATTTGCATCGAGCAGCCATTGTGCATATCTATCCATCTATTTATCTGTACTGAGAAATAGATACATAGATACATTGTCTCTCAGCATGGTTGGTTGAACCAGATGAGCTTTTTCTGGTCTTGCCGCTTGCAGAAGCAGCTTTAATCTACATCTGTAGTGCAGTGAAGTCAGCAAAGGGTCCTAACCAAAGCTGGGATGAGTTGTGACGAGAGCCCCAGCAGAGGGGAACCATCCGTAGGTGGCTCAGCCACTTTCCTTACCCTCTTTTAAAAATCAGATTGTTATATCCTCCCTGTTAATCCGTGGATAAATGATTTACTTCCCATAAGCTCCTTCACCTTCCTGCCACTTCCTGAAGCTCTTTCTGTTGTGGGCCATATTGTAAGCTCTCAGTTTTCCTTTGTATCCTTTGCTGGGTTTCCACTTTCTCGTGTGCTGATGCGGTTTCTCAGCTGTGATCTCTGCCTGGGCTTTCAGAGTCCCCACGTACCAGCACTACTCTTACTTTTGTGGGTGTCCTCCCTCCCTGCCTGTCACACATTGCGTCTGCCTTTACTGCCATGGAGCACAGCTGTAACGTGCTGGGGGAATTTAGAGAGATTCACAATGTGAGTAACCTGACGGGGTTGCAAAACAGGGTCCTGGAAATGCATCAGCAGTGCCAATGCACTTTTCTTGAGCTCAGCTGCTGGTGCTTGTTGTGTTCACTTGCTGGTACAGATAGGGCCTTGGTACATCTATCATATTCTCTTTCCTCTTTAGTGCAATACATCACTGCTTTTTAACATCAGCATGTCTCCTACAATTGGATTAGTTCAAAAAGCAGGCCTGAAGGCTCTTTGGTTGCTGTTTCCAGTAAAGGAGGGTGCGTTTGGCTCTGTCTCTTTTGAACTTTTTTTTTTAAATATTGAACTGAGCAACGTTTGACAGCGCTTTCATATCTCCTACCTGTGTGCCAGACATCTGTATTTTTAGCAAAACTGTGTATGATCAGACACTCAGAAAATACAAGAGCTTCCCTTGCACATGTGTGAACACACCCACACATGCAGGCACCGCCGTGTTCCCACGGTTCATGTCCCAGCAGCACTTCTATGAAGTAGCTGGAAGCTAGAAGCAACATTCTGATACTGACACACAACCAAGCACGTAAGGCCTCCCACTTCATTTCACAATGCCTCCCAGCCCAGCGCTGCCACAACATGCAGCTTTCTCAGCTGGAGTGAGGTTTAGCCAGGTCAAGTGTGCAGCCAAATCAAAGAACAGAAACTGCTGGAAGTGAAACGGGGGGACTGAGTGAGTTCTAAGGGAGCTGTGGCCTTTTAGTTGCTGTGTGGTGGTTGCTACGCTGCATTTTGTGCCCACTTGAAATGTTGCAGTAGTAAATCTTAAATGCATATCTTTGTGTATTTCAAAGTCCTGCCTTCTAGCAGTAGTAAACTTCTTGAGTTGTTAATGGTATGTATCCCATAGTGTGTAGAGCAGAGGGATTCTGGTATTTTTTTGCAGGTATTGGTGTTCAGACAGCTGGATTTATTCTGTACAAACTGCCTCAACAAATACTGTTAAAAATGTTGCCTGAGAACTGTTGCTTCAGGTGTTTTTCCATGCAGCAAAGAAGTAATTTGTTCACTTGCCTAATGTTTAAGAATTATATTAAGAATTATCCAGTAACAATTTTGAAGACTATAACAAAAATGTTGAAGCTTGCAAGGAGTGATTTAAACTTGGAGTCATTGTACAGCTTAGCAATAGGACTTGAAAAAGGATGCCAACCTTGAGCACAGTCCTGCAGCACTGAGGAGGTGTCACTGTTTGAGCAGACGTCAGCATTTTTCTCCCAAGAGTACAAACAGTTTTACAGATGTTGAGATCGAGCAGGTACGTGCATGTGTGCGAGACAAAGAGTGTGCTGCACATAGCAGTGTAGAGATGTTGAGTCAGCTGTGGCCTCTCTCGCCCCAAAATTAACAGTTTCTTGAGTTCAGTCCTACTGAATTAGGGAGGGAATTATAGAAAATCTCTTCTTTAGAAAATCACTGCC